CTCTCTCTCTCTCTCTCTCTCTCTCTCTCTCTCTCTCTCTCTCTCTCTCTCTCTCTCTCTCTCTCTCTCTTTCTGTAATACCAAGGCAGGTTTCTCTGTACAACACCGGCAAAGCATTGTAGATCAAATAATAAAGACAACAGCTGCGGACCTGAATACAAGAACCGCAAACTCTCCGCTGGATTACTGATGCGGTGTGACGTTCGCTTATTTGCATCGCATAATTGACAATATCGCTATTCGTCAGATATTCTCCGCTCCTTTGCTCTTCCTCGTTGGAAATCCACTCCGCATCGCGTCTTTCGCGGTTGTAACGATCCCCAATATCCTTTATCCTTCAGCTATGTACCTCGCGCTCGCCCGTCTCTCCACGTTGCATGCCTAATGACCGAGGACCTTCTTATCGAATCGCATAGCGAATACGTGTCTCTGGCGCGATTTAAAGTTTTGAGCCAGCGTGGAAAAAGAGCCGAAGTAGACTCGCGTAAGCCGCCATCAAAAATGAATATCTTTCTTCCTGGAACCGGAAAAAGACGGGCTGAAAGTAACGACGCCCATCTTTCCAGGCCACGTGGAGCTTCAATTATTTATAACATCTTGTTGATACCATCCTACACTAGTCAGTTACGCTTTTCATTGTTCTCTCCACTGCTCTCTACACTACTTATCGACTTACAGATTCTCAGTCTTGTTTTTGAAACATTAAGTCGTCGTGCCTAGACGCTTCTCCAACTTTTGCATCAAACAAACATAAAGTATATTAAAATGCGATCTTATATATAAAATAATCACATGCATAGTAAAAGTTAAATTAATATTATTAACGTATAATTTATAATATCTTAAAAATGTAAACGATAAAGTTTTATCCGTGAGCCGATTATTTAAATAATCACGTGCGTCGCAATAATTTAAAAATTAATTATAAAAATTAATTATATTATTAATATTATTAACATGTAATATAGAATATTTTAAAAATATAAACGACAAAGTTCTATTCGTAAACCGGATTATTTAAATCACGTGTGTCGCAATAAAAATTAAATTATTACTTATTATTAAATATTATATAATATTATTAACATATTTATAATATTCTTTAAAAATATGAATGATAGAGTTTTATCCGTGAACCGCAGCCAGATTTATTTAAAGTTTTTCATCCGACAAGAGCATCGTTCTTTATAGAAGATGTTAAGCGACTAAGTTCGTATCCTCTAAGGAACGTTAACGGCATCGTAACTCGGATCAGAAGTTAGAGCCGGACGGATTACAGGGAGATATATGCCCTTTCGAGCACTAATACAGATCGAAGAGGATCGCGCGACGATCGGGTCCGCGACCCGTCGAATCCGCAAGCAATTAATTCATAAGCGTACGTTCGACACAATGGTAAACTATGGTAGCACATATCCGTCTCTTCACGCAACAATGGCACACCAGCATCCGCATGTTGCAGGAATGGTATCAAGATTTGAATGAGCCAATACAGAGATAAAGGACCCGATCCCTAGGAGGCCAAAGGTATTACCGCAGAGAATACACGTCTCCGCGATTGTCTCGTTGATATGTTAATTAACGTTATTGATGTTAAGGCCATACCGAATACTCAATATGAGTATCTATTAATTCTGTCGAATCACAATACGGAATTGAGGTTGTATTAATCAATTCTCGGTATTCGAATAGCCGAACGAAATAAATAAACGCGCATTGCCACCAGAATTTTCACGATTGACATATCAGATATTATACTAAAATGGCTGGATAATTGATTAAATTTTTAATTATCACAGATTTTTTTTAAGTGACATCGCAAATTATAAAATGTCAACCTGTCAATCTTTTTATAATTATCGTATTTTTAAAATGTAACGATGATTTTTAATTTTCTATTAATAGCCTGCTTGCAGTAAATATTGTAACAATATTATATAATGCAGTAAATATTGTAACAATATTATATAACAATACTATATTACATGCGTGTGAAAGGTCTATTCCGGGTTTTCTCTTTGCTTAGGAGGCTTAGCAGCGTCATAAAATTCCTTGAAATCTCGATAAATAATAATCAACTGAGCGTAATATGACGTATTTCGCCCATTTTCCCTCTTACGAAGGTGAGACGAGACGGCAAGTCTGATTGAATCAGCATAATTCCCTCGTTGCGTATTACCCGTTGCGTAACCACCCGATTCCATCCTACTTCCCCACCTCGCTTCGGGTTCTCTCATTTCGCTCCTGCTTCGAGAATCCTGGTCGACGACGCCTCGGGAAAACGAATCCTTTGAAGTCCTCTGTAATCGAAGAAGTAATTTCAATGCGACCCTCGCCGGCAATCGTTTTTCCCCAATCATGCAGGGGTCGCGCGTCTGCCCTACGAAACGTTATTATCGGAAGCACCCCCATCCTTGATAAAGACAATTAGCGGTGTAATTCACAACAATTCTGTAAGTGAAATAAATGGATTGAAAAAAGGACTTGCATATATATATATATATATATATATATATATATATATACCTATTTATGCATCACATTACATTTATATTTCAAAGCAATTCGATAAAAAAATTTGATTATAAGTAAAAAATATTTTAAAAAAAAAATTGTGACGCGAAAAAAATACATGCTTCCCTGATTATATCATTTATGAGAACTTCTGAAATCTATGAATACAGTAGAGCATTCATGGGTAAGAGAAAAATCGTGGAGAAAGGAATGTATAAAGCAGGAAATTATAATAGAATCTAGTCTCGAGTCAAATTTTAATATTTTTACGTTAATGTAGATACATGCAGCGATTCCGAGTCTGTGTTCAGAGATAATGCAATGCAAGGAAGCTTTATCTATTTTTTGCCTTCATATAAAACATCCCTTAATAAAAACCTAACATCGAAGTAGACATAACGTCAATCCTACGCTCGAATAAAGCCGGATATATTCTCGTCAATAGCTTTTACATTTTCCTTTTCTGTTCTTCTCTGTCTTTCCTCATGGCGCGAGCTTTCAGTTAAGATTATCACCGACATTTTCCTCGGACGCGGAATCTAAATTCAATTTTACTTTACACAATCTAATTTAAGCAAAGTGAAACTCGTGCTGTACGTGGTGAAACTTAGTTAACATTAAACTTCGCACATATTGGATTCAAAATACGATTTCTAGCAAATTCAATCTGGAATAGCAAGTACAGGTCTTAACATCACGGAGAATAAAATCAAATTCGGAGCACGTATATCGAAGTTGAGCGTAGATGCCACTTTGTAAAGTAAACGACCTCAAAATGAAAAGCTTTCTCTTTTCTATCGTAAGAGAATTTCGCGGATTTCCGAGATAAACAAAACAAAATTATACCTAGTTGTAATAGATGCAAAGAAAGCCAACAATGGATGCAGAAAAAAAGAAGGAACTCCACCTTGACGAAGGCGCTACCCTCAAAAGTAATTTGAATATTCCGGACTTGAGGGGGATAACAGCGGAAAATTCTTACTCGATCTCACAGTAAAATATGCTTTCCTAAAACTCTACGAGATAAAATTAAACTTCGCTATGTTCGGCGGGGGAAATTCCCCACGACGTTCTCACTGGGAGCGAGTTAACAACTCTACCGTAGTGCGATGGGGCAGTTGGATCGAAAATTGTCGAAACTAATTAGCGAGCGACAGGAATGGGAGCATCAGTTTGCTCGCTCAGGACTAATGGGCAGCTACTGAGGGATATCGTCTTTTTGTTGCAGATGCGAGGGCGGGTGGCTTCAGCTCGAGGGCAGCGCTCGCGTTTGCGGTCGTAACCAACGCTTCGACCGACCGGTGGTGCTCTTCTCGGACAAACCAGTCGCGACTCTACATATGCAGTGAGTACAGGCACCTTCGTCGCTTCATTTCAGTCAGCGAGTGATTTTTGCGTTACTACCTCGTTAAGTTAAAAGTGATAGGTTCTCCGTTCGAGCAAACCACCCCAATTACTGTTAATTACAATCTCGCGTTACGAATACCTTAACGACAGAACATTCTACTTTACGCACGTAAGGGTGCGAAGCATTTGAATGTATTTTATAACAATACTTTAACTTTTCAACGCAGATAGAAGCCATCCTACGTAAATGATCTGTTTCGAAATAAAAATTTGCACCATGGATATTACTTTTCATTTTGACAGTAGAGATATTTTTGTAGACGAGAAAAATTTTTGTTTTAGTTAAATACAGCTCCAAGGATTTGAATAAAAGAAAAAACGATCAAGTCGGTAGATCTATTTATACGTTCACAGAGAGATTTTACAAAGACTTCTCTTTTTTTTTTCACGATTTTGTACGGTTGTATTTCAAATGAACAGCGAGTGCGTAAAGCCGATTTAATGTCACCGTGCGAATTACCGTTAATAGCGCGAAGCGCTATCGAGAGAGGAAGACGAGGACGAACGGCAAAAGGATAGATAGAATTCCAACAGCATTACGAAATAGGAACACGTCCTGAGCTAAGTGCTTCTTACTACCTCAAGCCGTTGCAATTCGTGTTACCGCTGCGCCAGTAACACTCGTACATCAAATTTTACTCTTAAATGTCATTAGGCAGTGATATCCAAGAGATTGAATTTGCGAACCCGCGCCAATCTCCATATCCTCGCGAAAGTTTTCCCCGATCTATCGGTATCGTAATAAGTCTGATTTCGATAGCTCGAAGAAAGGGCAAAGCTCGGAACCGAAGCGGCGCGGAGTATTTACACGATTCGCGCTTTATAAGAAGCGATTTCCATTATCAAGTAGCTCTCTCTCTCGCTTTATCCGCCATTTGTACTTGAACATCAGCTCCTGAGAAGACTTTAATTTAAATGCAAATTGATTTACCTTTGATAAAGTGAAATGGGGTTTCCTCTGTTTACTGCGAAGGCGAGAATTATTTTTTAAATGAACTTTCTTGAGCGGCGCGCTCACCACGTAACCGTATTTAATTACGCTGCAACTACCGTAGAGAAGTAATAACGTGAAATTAATAGTTATTCATGATCGATATGCTCTGAAACGTTACGAGCATCAATGGAAATGGAATGCAAATTAATTATTACGTTTGATGAAATGTGTTACATCGATTTATTTATTTAATAAATTTAATCTTGCGAAAGATGTCAACATTTTACATATGTGCGCTCGCAACACATCATGAGCCATGGGATTCATTTTTTCAATCAATCATTACGTTTTCTCATATTTATCGCGTTGATAATCAAATGTAATTGAAATCAAAGCAACAGGCAATTAATGTGAACGATCCGTAAAATTTTCATTTGCTCCTCATTCGGGGTGAATTATTATGGCGGGCGTCTGAGAGCGCTGAAAAATCTGAATAATTGATTGGTACATATTGTTGGGCCTCGCGGGAGTCGGTAAATGGTGGAAAAGTTTACAAATTCGTCCGCAGATAAATCCCCATGGCTCTATGGGTGCCTCCATTATTTATGTTTCTTAATTGGCGCATCCAGAAAAAGTGAATTTTGCCGGACAACGAGAAGCTTCGTTACGAACTGCTCATTAAATATTTATGGCGAAATCAGCGTCTGCGATATCCGCGCGTCGTCGACTAAGGAGTATACATAAAACTGAGTATACATAAAACATCAGCAGTTTGCTCAATTCTCGCAACTCGTTTCTTTGACTTCGGCGCAAGATTTTTCTGACGTATGTTTCGACGACGGTTTTATGATTCGCTCAAAATTCGAGACAAGTCTGGATAAACACTGGAAAATTTGCGGATCTCACGTGGCAGCAGCAATTAACGAGTAATATAAAGCAGCTTATAGTTTGCTTATAGTTTTGCTTGGAAATCCACGGTTAATTTTATATATATATATATATATATTTCTACAATCTGCCGTGCATAAACTAAAAATCGAGCGACTCGCGAGAGTAACATGGCGCAAAATTTAATTCTGCTAGTCGCTCCTGAAAGTAATTTTATTATCCAACATGATGTTCAATGAATTTGTGAGGAAATCGCATTTGATTTCTATCGCAAATTGTTTTACGTTTCCATAAATTGTGAATTCAGCAACCATAGATAAGATAATAATTGTATCAAATAACATCAAAGTAAAACTCAATGAGCGTAAAATTAACGGAATATGTACACTGACATAATTCATAGTAAAACATTATTTGTTTGAATTTTGTAAAGAGACTCCATTTTTTTTTAATTAGGAGAGTTAAAAAAATCTTTTTTTCATGTTCATATTAATATACAATTCATTAATCTTATATTTGCTATACAGATGGTAGTGATTTTAATTGTGAAAGATAGTTTTTAATTGTTAAAATTGAACATGAAAAAATTCGATTGGATGCTACATAGTAATAGATAAAAGAATTCGGAAGGAATCGCCGTATTGAGACTACGGCATCTTCTGACCTGGAAATGTCTCTCGCGTTATTACTCGGCACTTTCTCAGCGAAGACTCCAAAACGCGGCTTAGTCGGTATGAAATTTATATAAGTTGGGAAGTTAAGTGTAATGTGGCAAACCCGTCGCACACGACTGGCATAAATGTGTCAAGAAATGATTTATAGCGTTTGCTTCCATTCCTACCTTTGACAACTTCTTATATGAAAATATTTAAGAAGGTTAACAACAAACGACAATCTATGATCTGTGACGCATATTTGTTCCAGTGAGAAACCATTAAATGCCTGTGCCTTGGCTGAGAAGGGAGAAAAATGTAAAAATATATTCAATACTTTGTCATTAATTTTATTGTTGCAGACTTTTAAAGAAAACATGAAATAATTATAACAGTCGGAAATTCAAAATTATTTTGCTGGTGAAAATGAAATGAAAAAGAAATGAGGTAAAATGAAATTCGCATGGGCGAGTAAGCGCGATAAATTTTTCATGAATTTCTGGCTGAGAAATTTCTAGTGCCGCTTAATTGGTTAAATTAACGAGCTGCGATGAAAATTCCGTCGGATGGAATCTCGAAAGTACACAATGCACGCGAAACGTCGCATAATATTTTTCAGCATCGCCCATAAAGTAACGACACGTATCCAACCGAATTCGAGGCAATAATCGGATTCCCATGAAATTTCAACGCGCTCATTTCCATAACTACGTCCTTTTATGTCACCGTGAAACATTGAAATGGACTGAATTATTCAACCGATAATACGCGACTCATACGTGGAATACGGACGGAAACTTTGTCTGTTATGTTTCAACATATTGCATAATGCACTTTAAACTACAGCCAATTGTCCACGCAGGATATAAACCGTAATAAGGTCAATATACGATCTCGGTTTATCTCGCACAATGAAAGTATTCGCTTTCGTGAGGAAAGTACAACAGATGCTTGATTTGCTTCGATTATATTTCCTTCACCAACATGTCAAATTTATTCGAACATCTCTTTTTTTTTCTAGAATGGAATATTAAACACAAATAGCAAAATAGGCAACAGAAATATCGAATAAAGCGACTATGTTTCAACGTTTACTGTTTGGTT